TTGCAATAATTATTAACAGACAAAGTGAATTATCGTGGCTCAAATTCAATAATTATGATTAAATTCAGTAATGGAATGTGACCTGATCTGTCTATAACTTTCTATAACTTTATTATTATTATTATTATTATTATTATTGTTATTATTATTATTATTATTATTGTTAGCAGAGATGGTTAGGCGATTGTGATTTTTCAATGAATATATACAATTTTAAATAAAATGTCATATTAAAATAAAATAAAATAAAATAAAAGTATGACGATGGGAAATGCTACGGTCACGTTATGGTACCATTACAGTTTTGCTATGGAGCCATCGGATGGCTCGGCTTATGGAGCAATCCATACTTAATCACCAATAGTGCATTGACATGTGTCTTACAATAAATACAATTTAGACATGTGTCACTATATTAAGTGACGGATGGCTCCATAAGAAAACAATCCGATGACTTCATAGAATTTTTGGGTACCATTATGGTACCATCTTGTTGGTGTTTTAACTGTTGGATCCACGTGTAGTAAGATAAGATAGATGATCAAACGGTTAAAACACCCGACGGGATGGTACCGTAACATTTCTCCATATTATAAAATGTATTTCTCATTAAAAAAATGATGAAAGATTATAATACAACTTTATTGTTTTCTATTTGCAATATTAATGCCACTACTTTAATTCCTTTTAACAACAATATAATATAAATATATATATATATATATATATAAAATCTCTGTCAATATCAATCCACTCAAATTCTGACGTACGTCAAAATAAAAAATATTGAAAAATATCGGATTGGTTGAGAAACTTTGGAAAAAATAAGGGAAATTACAAAATAAAAAATTAATTTCAATTTAAAAAAAATAAATAAAAGTTGGAAGATGTCCACATCCAATCCACCTACTTCTCACATATGAAAAAAAAAAATAAAAAAATTAATAATAATAAATCAGGAAATACAAAATTTATTTATTACAAAACATCGTTTCAGTTCAATATAATAGTAGTAATATATGTAACTAGCAAGTTGCTAGAAGAAATAATATAAGAAGAAATTGGGATATAGAAAGTGACATGTCACTAAAATCATTTTCATAAATTGATAATTTGATTGGCTTTCTTCTAAACGACATATCTCATTTCATTTTCAAGTCACTAATAATTATTTATTTATTTATATATATATAATAAAAATAAAATTGTTTATAAAAATATAATGGCTATCAGCATCAACACACCTCAAGATTCCTCCTAAATAAAATAAAATAAAATAAGAAAGGAAAAATAAATAAAATTGCATAAGCCCAACTCTCAGGTTTTGACAAATGAGATGCATTCATGGTTTTTTGTATTTTATATATTTGTCATATTTAAAAATTGCATGAATATTGTATTATTGTTAAGTGGAAGTAGTCAAAAGATTATTGGATATGAACTAATGACTAATGATATTATTGTATTACTAAGGCCCCGTTTGGAAGATAGCGTATTGAGGATAAATTAGCGGATTGGACTTAATTGAGAGGTTTGACCCGTCAAATCCGCTATTGAGCTTGTTTGGTAAATAACTTATTTGATAAGCTTTTTAGGCCCAAAACTCTAATTTAGAAAAAGCTCATTAGAGGAGCTTTTTGGGGATAGAGGATTCACAATCTACAATTTTAATTTAGAACTTTTTAATTTGTATTATTTATTTTACAATCTACATTTGTTTATAATGCTAACAAATAATAATATGTCATCCATATGATTAATTTATCTAGAAAAATGTAAAATTCATAACTTCTTAATCAATTGTTAGTAATTTTTTTTAAAAAAATATATATTTATAAATTACCAACTAAAAAATATTAAAATGTTTTAATATATTATTATTAAAAGAATACACCCTAAATAATAAAATGTCTTTATTGGTAATTTGCAATGTCAAACAGCTATAAGCTTTCAGCTATTTACCAAACACTTATTTAAAAACCGCTAATGCAATCCGCTAGTCAAATCACCTAATATATAATCCGCTATCCACTATCCGCTAATACAATCCGCTATCCGCTATCCGCTGATCGCCAAACAAGGCCTAAAGCAACTTATTAATAATTTGATCAATTGATATTTTATTATTTTTATATCTGAACAATTTTAATCGCATTTTTATCTCATATTCATTTACAATAAAAAATTTATGTTTTTTTTTTTGGATAATATTTTCAAATTTCCATCACGTTTTTTCAAACGGGGACAAAAATTTTCAGAAAATATTTGCACGCACTAGAATATGAATAAATTTAAATGATTTTCAAAAATCACTTACAGGTGTTTTACATTTATTACTCTGCTCCAATCAAAATACCAAAATTAATTAGAATAATTTTTTGGAGAAGTGTTTTAATTTTATTTTTTTACAAAAATTATGAGTTTAATGATTATAAATAATTTTTTATAACTAATATAATTAATTTCTTAAATAAACCACGAGCTCTCACAAATAGTGTTGTTAAATTAAACGACCCTGACTTAGCTCGCCTCGTTAAGGCTCGAGTTCGAGGCATTAACGAGCCGAGTTCGAGGCCTTAACGAACCGAGCTCGAGCTCATTTGAAGCTCGTTTGGCCAACAAGTCGAGCTCGACACGGCTCGATAAAGCTCGTTGAGGCTCGAAAATATAATTTTTTATAGTTCGGCTCGTTAAAATTCGAGATCAACTCGTTAAAGTTCGAGCTCGAGACCTTAACCAGCCGAGCTCGAGCTCGATTTCAGGCTCGTATACTAAACGAGCCGAGCTCGGCTCGTTAAGGGCTCGACCTCGAGCTTGAGCATTCTAAGTTCGAGCTCGACTCGACTCGTTTACAACTCACTCACAAATATTTCCCTACATACAAACAGAGGTTCCTAATTCATTATTTCTCATCGCATAATTGATGTCAACATAAAGTTGGACATTTTAAAATGAT